TGCCCATGACAGGCTTTGAGTCGGTCCGTCAAGCCTCTTTCCATTGCAACATGCTTCATTGTTTCATTAGTGGTGAAGCACTTTCTAATAAGGTGCCCTCTGCCAGAGTGGTTCAGTTAGTTGAACGTCCGTCATCACATGTACTGAAAAGTTGCCAGTTCAATTTCTGGTCACAGCACATACCTGGGTTGTGGGTTCAGTTCCAGGTCAGGTCACAAAGGCAAACAATCAATGTTTCTCTCCCTCTCCCTCTCCTATCCTCTCTAAAATAAAAAATATATATTTTAAAAGGTGTACCTACTAAAAGGTATTTTACACAAGTGATTACTGTTCGGTTTCTGCCTTACATTGCTGAAATTTAAATCTGAGCTGAACATAGAGCCCAAGTACACATGAAGAGTATCGAATATAAATTGCTATGATTTAGGCTAAAGAATGATTTTCCAGGGGGTTGTCTAAATCTCATCTTTTACATTTTGTTTCCCAACAGGCTGCTATAATGGGTTAGTTTATGTTCTAAAAAGTAATAATGGAGAAAAACACTGGATGTTTACTACTGAGGATGCTGTCAAAAGCTCGGCAACCATGGACCCATCCACAGGATTCCTCTACCTTGGCTCTCATGACCAGCATGCATATGCTTTGGATATTTATGTAAGGATTTGCCTCATCAGTCTCATCTGAGGAAGAGGGTCAGACTGTCAGGTTCTCTTTGACTAAGGGAGCAGGTGTTAACTATTTTCCAAGTTTAGCATTGTGGTCTTGGAAGAATAAAGAGTTAATAACAGTCATACCTTAAAACATTTTTAACTCTCTTACCAAATTTTCACAAATGCATTTGCTACTCAGAGTTTTGAAATATAAAGAACTTAGAATCATCATCTTGACAATAGAAAAGAGTTACAAAGGAAAATGTCAATAAGAGCTGATTACATAAAAATTTTAAAAAATTTAGAATTACAAAATTTAAAAGTAGTAAGTTCTGGGGGATGGAATGGAAACAAATGAGACAGTTAAAACTGATTTATATTTATAAGTATGAATGAAAATAAAGAGTAAATACAAGTTTATAAGAAAAGACCCAGATAGAAAAATAGGGGATGCCAAAGAAGAAATGGCTAGTAAATATATTTAAATATTTAAATCATTTAATGATCAAAGGAATGAAAATTAAAAACAGAGAAATAAATGGTATTAGATTAGAATGATGGCATTAATGCTGAAGTTGTGACTAGTGAAAGCCTCTAAGGAAAATAATTTGGCCATAGGTAACAATTTCATATCCTTTGATTCAGTAAAACTCTTCTTTTGGGAATCTATCCTGGCAAAATAATCAGAAACATGGAGAAATATGTGCATCATGATGTCTATTTCCAAGTTGTTGTTAACGACAAGAAATTAATTCCAAACACTTTTCAATGGTAAGGTAGTGAGATAAACGATTTTATGTTCATATGGAATATTGTGCATTAAAGTAAATTTAAAGAAAAAATTAGATACCAAGTGTATATTCAGAATGATCTCAATGATCTTAAACTGTGTGTGTGTGTGTGTGTGTGTGTGTGTGTGTGTATCAAAAAAATAAAAGGGAAAATGCTAAGCTGTTAACAGTTGGTGGTCTTGGTCTTTATTCTAACTTGATTTGCCATAGTAAGCATGTCAATAGTCCCCTATTTTTCTATCTGGGTCTTTTTTTATAAACTTGTATTTACTCTTTATTACTTTTATATTAAAAATAAAAACTTGCCCTGGCTGTTGTGCTAAGTGGTTAGAACTTTGGCCCACAAACCGAAGGGTTGCAGGTTCGATTCCCAGTCAAGGGCACATATCTGGGTTTCAGGTTCGATCTCCAGCCGTTGGGCAACCAATTGATGTGTCTCTCTCACATCGATGTTTCTTTCTCCCTGCCTCCCACGTTCCCTTCCACTCTCTCTAAAAATCAATGGAAAAAATATCCTCAGGCAAGGATTAAAAAAATAATAAAAACTTAGTTAAATAGGTATAGCATATAATAGATAGGATATGTGAATTTGTTAACCACCAGCAGAAACCAATTAATTTGCTTTCTTATTTGCAGGAAAAGAAGTGTGTTTGGAAGTTAAAATGTGGAGGAACTATCTTTTCTTCGCCTTGTTTGAACTTGATTCCGTATCACTTGTATTTTGCTACACTGGGAGGACTTTTACTGGCTCTAAATCCTGTAGGCATAAAATAATTTATATTGATTTTATTACCATTTATCTTTAATATTCTTTATTTTGAATTCTGAAAATTAGTTAGTTTTGGTTAGCTATAGTCCAGATATCAATAAACCAGAACTCATTAAGAATGACTGACATGAAGTCTAGAAAGCTGACAGAAATCAGCTAAGATCTGTGCATGTTTTTTATCTATTTTTTAAAATAGAATTTTCTTACATTAGAAGTTAGGATGGTCTAAGGATAGATACTATGTGCTAGTTTTTTCTTTCCTGGCTTTAGTGCAAGCTTTTAGCTCTCATAAATAGTACTGATTGATTTTATAGCTGTGTATATGTGTACTAGCCTTGTTTATGTCAGCATGTCATTATAGCATTTTCGGATGTTTTATAGCTTTGCCTCCTAGAGATTTATGAGTTTGTTTTATACAGTTAATTGATTAGAAAGATTGAAATGCTATGAATTGTTTTTGCCCATGACAGGCCACTGGAAATAGAGTTTGGAAACATTTCTGTGGGAAACCACTCTTCTCTTCTCCAAGGTGTTGCCTGCAGTATGTTTGTATTGGCTGTGTAGATGGGAATTTACTTTGCTTTACTCACTTTGGAGAACAGGTAAATTTTTCTGGTACTATTTTATGTATCTTTCTCAAAGGAATAGTAGTAGTTGGTGACAACTGAAGTAAAACTTTAAATGTCATTATTCAATTCATGTTAAAAAAAACTGGTTCTGTTTTGTCAGGCCATGGGTTTCTTTTCTTCACTCTTTTTTTTTTTTTTTTTAAATTCTCACCTGAGGACATGCTTAGAGAATCAGAGATCCAGTTGAGAGGGAAACATCAATTGGTTGCCTTACCATACGTGCCAAACTGGGATCAAACCCACGTATGTGCCCTGACTGGGAATCTAACTGGCAACATTTTGGTGCACAGGACGATACTCAATGAACTGAGCCACTCTGGCCAGGCCATACATTTCTTAATTTGTGAATTGGTGCAATATATTTCAAAGATTCTATCCAAACATTGTTATACTTGTGCTATTCCCCTCCTACCAGTTTTTAAAAATTTACAGCTTGAAACCAATTTTATTATAACTTCTTTTGAGGTTATGAAAATTTAAAGAAGTCCCTGCTTTCTCTATGAAAACCAAAATCTCTGGTATAACCCACATTGCCTTATATGGGGGTCGCATATTCAACTTCA